TTCTTTCACAATGCAGTCATTTTTACTGCTTTTCGGCAATATAGGTATATACTAAGTTTCAGTCTTTCTAGTGTTAATGAACCTCCTGATAAGATGATTTGAACGAAATTGTAAGTTTGGAAATTTAGAACAGCTGTCGCTTACACTTAATTATTTCGATGCCGGTTTGCAATTTCCTACAGAGGCACCGGAACCAACTGCCTATCTTCTGAAATATACCCTTCGTCTTTAGGGAGAAACTCTTCTGCTCGCTCATTTTCGCCCGACAATCGATCATCTTGTTCAAAGTTTCTCACGCTCGTGAAAACACTTGAAAACTGTCCGATCGACGAAGCTTAGAACTATAATACTGTTCGAGGAAGAGAAAGTTCCGACGAAAGAACGATCACGATTCGTTCGAAATAAATTGCGAAAGTCTATCGAAAACCCGATTAATTATCTCATTTAGATTCATCAGAGTTGGTCGATCCGTCGGCTTGTAAATTTTCCGAATCGAACGCAATTTCGATGGCAATCTTTATTCATGCAGGAACGGCTTCCAATTCCCCGCAGAAATTACAAGCTCGATGAAGGTATTCTGGCAACGATTCTTCCTCCCATTTGCATTTTTTCTTCCCTAACCTTGATTCCCGCTATCGGAGCCGGAGATCGGGTTTATCTGGCGGGAAGCTCTGAAGAGACGCGGCGCGTTCCCGAGGAAGCTTATCCGACGAGAATTCCGCATAAAATTATCGAACGATGCTGACCCGGGCCAGGACGTCTTCGAGACTCCGGTTATCTCCACTGCCGTGGAATCTTACGGCAAGATACACGCACCCTCTACTTCAGAAAAGTTCTCGGCCGATGCCCTTGATGAGAGAAAGAAAAAGTTCGGTGACACTTGGAGACTTCGTCGATTTCGATTAATTAAACAATTCGATTACAAAATTCTTCACTTTTTTTAAAGTAGTCTTCCTTCGATTCGATATTTTTCTCTTCCCCGAAATCGATTCACTAATTTCTGAGATTCTTCCAAACAAAATTCCGTAGACTTGCTTCCGTGTCACTGGAAAAAGAGGAAGTTCGATCTCGTCGATGAAAGATCACGATTCGCTCAAAATAAATTGAGATAGAGAGAGAGTCTATCGAAAACCACGGTCTCACTGTCACCGATTAAAGATTTCTCGATCGGTCGGATCGTTCGATCTCCGCTTCGAGCGATTCGCACTGACGCGGAGTTTCAACCGCGACGGACGGTTTGACACTGAACAATCGGCAGCGTTTATCGGGAAAGGTAGCGTCTGCCGCTGTCGTAGTTGGTAGAGGGGCAACTGATAATTTTCCCGAGGAACGTCTCCGGTTCGACACACGGTAAGAATTTCGGTCCCTCCACCCCTTCCACTCGCAGGTCAGGAAGACCCAAGGGTGTGTGGACTGATGACTCACAAG